ATGTGGGGCTCGATCCCAGGACCCTGGGATCATGACCTGAGCTGAAGGCAGACGCTTAACGACTGAGCCACCCAGGCGCCCCCCTTAGAAGCATTTGGAAAGTGCTGGGCACATGAAAGGCTTCAAGGTCAGCTCCCGACTGGAGACCCAGGGATCAAATCCAGACCACAGACGTGCGGTGGCTCATAGAAGGTTTGAAAGCATTCCCACTTAGTTGCCAACAGTTTTTAATTGGGACATTTTCCATAAAACCCCAGATTTCTGGCTTCTCTCGAGAAAAATCAGGACAACTATCAACATGAACTAGCAACTCCTGTCTGTCCTGAGAAGCAGGGGGCTCAAGCACCCCTTCAGTCTTGCACAACACTCTGCCTGGCCCCTGCGGGCTTTTACCCTCCAGTGAACACCGTGGGATCTGCACACCACAGCCTCATGACCTTGCCAAGGCCCGCCTTCTGTCCTTTGGCTTCCAGCTGTCCCCACTCCGCTCCCCCACCTTCTGTAACCACCTCTTCCTTCTCCTTAGGGCCTCAAGACCATCCCTGGGGGCCCTGGGTTTCTGGATTCCTGGTCCTTCACTTGGACTGGTCCTTCCCCTGAGAGTCTTTCACTTCTTAAAAAAGTGCTTTATCAAGTTAAAAACACAGACTTTGGAGTCATGCAATCAAGTTGTAGCCTGGTTACTCTCCTGCTGTGTGTCCTTGGGCAAGTCACTTAACCTGTCTGAGCCTTGGTTTCCTAAATGGGGATATTGATGGTCTCTACCTGCAAGGGTGGTTCACACGGTAACGTGGTGCTCCACCACTGGATTGCCTGACGTGTGCAGGAAACGATGCCTGAGATGATCATTATTTTAATTCTAAGCCTGCCTATTAAAAGCGTTTCCAGTCCTTCCCATCGAAACCAACAGTGAGTGATCAAAACGCAACCCAAAGCAAAAATTCCCTCGAGACTGCCAACCTCTAAATTACAGAGACGATGCAGAACTGATTTCTCCTAGCTTTGATTAAAATTTGAATACTTTCTTCACTTCGCTTAAAAAAAAATAAAAAAATAAAACATAATTAGAGGATGAAATATGATATAGAGGACCAAAAAATGAAGTAGAAAAATGGGAAATGTCAAAACAGTAGCACTAACAGCTTAAAGGCTATCCATCTTCATTTCTCCTGCTCCTTGCGGAGTCAGGAGGAGAAATCTCTCCAGGGGGCTCCCCTCCCCGCCAGTCCTACCTGGTCCTCAGCCCATGGGCCGGCCTGGGTGTAGGGCCTGTCCTCCCCTTCGCTGCCGGCGGTGCTCGGCCTCCTGGGCGTCTCCTCGCTCTGCAGACTGTAGGGGCTCTCCGCATCCACGTCAAATGTCTCATCCAAGCAGAATATGGCCTCCAGAATGTCATCGTCGGTCGTGAATAGGATGGTGTCTCCAAAGTGCTCTGGGGCTGGATGGGATACCACGGAGACCAGAAGAGTCAACTGGCCCAAATCCCCATGGTTTGGAGAGCAGGAACCCAGACCCATCAACCTCTGGGCTATACAATCCCCACCCACCGACAGTTGCTGATTTGTGTTAGGAAGCCTTCCTTTTTATTAGTCACACATTTGCAAATGAAATTCACATGCCCTAAGAACCACTTAGACCTAATGAAGGGAGCTAACCTAATGAGAGTCACTGTGATCCGTCGTGAAATGAGAGCTGCTTCTTAGGTGTGGGGGAGGCACCTTCGCAGATGCTGTTGGGCCCCCACCCGGGTGCCTGCTGATCCCTTTTTGGGGGCTGGAGGCTTGCCGGGAAGGGCTTGGAAGTTACACTCCCAACCCAGGGAGCCCTGCTGCTCTGCCTTTAAGGCAGGACAGATCCTGCAATTTATGCTCCAGAACTCCCTTTGGGATCAGGCTGAGACTCAGCCTCCCTCAACCCCTAGCATCTCCCTGTTCCCATCCTGTCTCCCTCCTTGCACCACAGCCTCTCCCGGGAGCACCCCTCAGTAACTCGCTCGCAGAAGAACTCCCCCTTCTCTGACTCAAGCGCTAGGGAAGCTGAGTAAGGCCGGTGCCCAGGGGAGGAGCTTAAATGAAGTCAGCCCTTGCACCCCTATGCTGCAAAAAGTGAGGAGTGAGCCAGGCCCAGGAAGAGGAGAGAGGAGAGACCCATCTGTCACTGGCTAGCCAGGGTCTTTAGTTTTTCCTCAGAGCCTCAGCGGGTAGCAGGTAGGGGCTTCCAGAACATTCTTACAGACATACTCTACCTCCCGTCAGCGTCCCCGAGGCCTTGGCGATTTCTCCTTTAAAGATGCACTGAGCGTCTAACAGCATGGTGATGTCCTTCACGCCGCGGAAGGAATGTATCCGAGATTTATTGTAGTTCCAAATCCTGATCAGGGCGACTTGGCAAGGGCTCACGAAATCTATGGAGATGGAGTGGGGCTTGCCCAGCGTGAAAGGGGCCAGCCAGACGTGCATGTCGTCCTGGGTCCTGTTCACCCCATCGATGAGGTTGGTGACCACGCGGGGGTCTTTCCCGTAGGCTGGTAAAACATTGATGTCAGGGGGGTCTGCGTGAATGTTCGCGATCTGCACTGGCTCCCCCTCAGAACTGAATATTTCTATTCCGTTAAGGCCGACATAGTGCCTGTCCCCCCACGTCGACTTGATGTCGATGACCAAGCGCTGTCCATACGGCAAGACGGGGATCTCAAAGTCGCTCCCGTCGTGCATCTCTGCGGAGCTGTCCTCCGGCCCTCTCCTCGGCTCCGGCCTCTCCTCCTTCCCCGGCGGCAGCTGGTCGCTGTGGCGGCTGCCCGTCTGCTGTTGCAGGAACTCGTCCAGGATGTCCCCCTGCAGCTCCATGTTGGAGATGCGACCCCGCTGGGAGCGGTCAAAGGCACTGAGGGAGTCCCAGGACTCGTGCAGCATGTGATCCTGCTCACTGCACCACCGGGACCGCGGTGGCGTCTTGCCGGACCGGGTGTCTTCTGGAAGAACACAGGAGGGGTGAAGCCCCATTAGCGGCACGTGTGTGAGTGGGGACCTTTACGGATGGTCTCAACAGGGGGCTCTCGGCTAGGTGGGGTCGCCCTCAGGGGGACATTCTAGAAATCAGGGGGGTTGCTCCTGGCTCTGTCTCAGTGCCTGGCCTTTGACAGGTGGGGCCAGGATGTTAATCTCTTGCCCTGCATGGGGACAGTTGGGGCCTCCCGTCACACGCCAACATTCAGGTTGGTCAAAAACTGATCATAGTGGGCGCCTGGGTGGCTCAGTTGGTTAAGCGACTGCCTTCGGCTCAGGTCATGATCCTGGAGTCCCGGGATCGAGTCCCACATCGGGCTCCCTGCTCAACAGGGAGTCTGCTTCTCCCTCTGACCCTCCCCCCCTCTCATGAGCTCTCTCTCTCTCAAATAAATAAATAAAATCTTTAAAAAACAAAACAAAACTGATCATAGCTACCCAAGTCTAGAATCTGGTTGTTTTGCAAAAAGCAAAGCAGTTTTCAATATACTTTGGATTTCCTGAGAATGGGACCCCCATGCAAGTCAAGGGCAGACCTTCTGTTGCCTGAGAACCTGCGCGAGAACCCGTTCTGCACGTCAGAGGCTCCCACGACGGGCGGGGTCGGGGGGGGGTAGCGCCTGAGTCAGCAACCAGAGGGGCTGCTCCGAGGCTGTCACATCACGTGACTCTGACAGTGTTTTCAAAGACTGCCTAACGGCAGGTGGAACATTCGCAAAAGAATGTTCGATGGGAAAAGAGCCAGCTACGCTCTTTAGGCTGCGGCAGACCCTGGTAGGGGCGGCGCGCACCAATGTGTTAATATGCTCCTTTCTGGGTGGTGAGGAGGAAGGACTTCTAGCTGCTTCTTGGTCACCTGATCTTCTAAGTTCCCCAGATGTATTATTTTTATAATCAGGAAAAAGTGCTATAAGGAACGCTGACGACACGGGTAAGGAATGTACTCCTATGTGTGGCTAGGCTGGCTTCGAGAACAGAAGCCTGCGTCCCCAGCACATGGACGGCGCGGGCCTGGCCCTCAGAGGGCTGGCTCTGAAGGCTGCAGTCTCCTCCTTGTAGAACAGAAAAGCCCCCAGCACTGGCCTGGCCTCACAGCCACACCTCAGCTAACTGCCACGTAAGGGTGTCATTCTGGAAAAACAGCAGCTGATGACACTGACGTTCTGTTTTTCCTCCTTTCATACCGGACTGTGCCCTGCACTCCATTTGCTGCCTGGCTCCTAGGGGGCCTGGCTCCATCAATTATCCTCTCTCTCCAGAACCCTCCATCACCCCTTCCCCGCTGGCACCTTGCCCTCTCTCCGCCTGCAGACACACATAAATCTCTCCTACCGGAAAGAAAAAGGAAGCGGGGCCTGATCTCGTGGCTTCCTCTAACCGCCACCCGATTTTCTCCCTTCCTTGGCTGCAGCCCCTGCGCCCTCCTCACTCCCACCCTCCCGCAACCCCTGCAACCTGGGGCCTCTTTGCGGACTTACTGGTTTGGCCCACCCAAGCCCCACCTGCCCTTCTCCTGATCTTCCTTTGGGGATCCCCCACCGTCAGACCATCCAGATTAGGCAAATGCTGACAGCGTCCTTCCAGGCTGGGAAGGGAATCACGGAGAGGGGCTCTCTTTAGACTGGTGCCCCTGGGTGGCAGGATGCCGGACGTGGGTGTGCAGTGCTGGTGGCCAGTTTGCTACCCTGGGGGAGGGGGGGAGCCTGCCTGACAATGAAGCCAACACAGATAATGTGGGTCGAGAGACGGAGAGAGAGTCATTTGAGCCCCTGGATGCAGCCATGCCTGAAGTCAAACCCCTGGTGGTGTTCCATCCCTTGCCTTTGTAAGAGTCCTGTAATTCTCACAACCCTCCACTGAGCTGCAAGTACACGATGACTCCGAGTACTCAATCTTTTCTCAGTCCTCATGCTTGACATCCCAGGCGAAGCTCTTCCACTAGACAGTCCCTCCTCTGCCGGCTCAGGAGCGTTTGCCCTTCTGGGCTCTCCCCTGCGGCTGCTGCCCACCTCCCCATGCCGGGGCCCTACCCCATCCGGTCCTCTCAACACTGCCCTCCCTCTCTGACCTCACCCCACCAGCTCCTGGTTGCCATTTTCTAGGTCAAGTTCTGGCTTCTCTCCGCTCGCCACCACCTTCCAGTTCCAAGGACCCCTCCGGAGGTCCAGACATATCCAGTGTGTGCCTGAAAGGGAATTTGTCACCAACTCCTCCAGTCGGCACACTGTCTCCAGCTGGGGGTGAAGAACACCTAACTCCTCGCCATGACCCCCCAGGGCCTCGGTGGGGCCCCTCCCGCTTCTCTAATCTCACCTCACACCTTCTCCCTAATGATCAGCTCCACTGTGTGGGCCTTTTGTTCCATGGACACAAGTCTTCTTCCTGCTTAGGCTTGCTGTGCCCTCTGCCAGTTATGCTCTTCTCCCGGATCTCCGCGTGAGGGCCCTTCTTGGCCCCCTCCTCCTTGGGGAGGACCTCTTTGCTCTGTTCCCTGCTGCGTCCCAGGGCCTGGCATAGAATGTGGTGCACAGAAGTGCTCAGTCCACGTTTGCTGGCCCAGGGATGGCTGGCTGGCATCACCATTATGCAACGCCTGGGAGCCGAGGGACTCCCCCCTCCATCTGTCAGCTCTGGTGCACCTGTCCTGTCCCCTCCCCTCCTTCTTCATTTGCCATTAAAAAAGACCCCAGGAGTTCCTTCCTTTCCTCCAGGCGTGAGGCTTAACATCTGGCAGAAGGAACTTCCCATATGGATTGTCATGACATCAGTTTATTGGGATTTGATTTCCACTGACTGAAATGAACGGCCTGGGTTGGGCTGTAAGGGAGCTGAGGAGAGGGAACAGACATCATGTGTCAGGGACTCAGCCTGTGTGTCTCGGCCTGGGTGGGCAAGAAAGGCAGGACTCTGCTCTCCTTCTGCTCCTGCTTTCTGATTTTTTCTCCCCAAGACGTACAGTCAGGGTTTTGAAAGCAGAGAGGTGCAGGCTTTCTCCTGGACCTCTTGGATGTGACAGCAGGCTGGGGGCCCCCGTTTCCCTCTGTCTGCGGGAGAACACACCATTCATGGGGGTGGGGCGCTAGGATGAGATGACGGGATTGCAGACTTAAAACTATCCCTTGGTGGAGGTAAACAGGAACTATGAAGTTCGAAACTCAAGCTTGTAAAAATCAACGGCACCACCGTGAGGTATATACTAGTTCTTCCTAAAACAGGAAACGAGACTGAACATAGGGAGACACAACAGAGCCATGTGTGTTCAAGGTGAACAGCCCTCCAGCCTCGGCTGATTGGACAAAGGGCGGACACCTGACCCACGTCAGCCAATCAGCATCTCCCCTGAGACTTTGGGAGCGAGAGCCGGGCAACTGTCACTCTTGGGCTGTGGGGCACCTCCTGCCCTGTGCACAGAGCACGGAAAGCTGATCTCATGAGGAAGAGTGAGGGAAGGTGGCAGAGGCAGGGCCCAGCAGCCCTGGGGAGTCAGGAGGGAGAAGTCTCCTGGGCGCCCACTGGCTTTCTGCTTCCTCCTTCCAATTTCAGGTGACAGGCAGCCACACTTCCTGCCTCTGGAGGTCCTGTGCTCAAACTGGGCAGGTGCAATTTTATTCACCTCTAGCCAATGGACCCCTGATGCAGACGCTTCTAAAATGCAAATGACATTACAGTGAGATGCTTTGTTGGACAAAAGGATTTCCAGGCTCTATCCTTTGGGGACAACAAGACTCTAGCCCCAGGGAAGAACTCAGGCAGTCACTCATTCTAGAAGCATATTGGAGGGCTTGGCCCTCACCTTTCCTGAAGGGCATGGCTGTGGGATTTGGCTCTATGTAATGGGTAATTTAAAATTTCTAAGCAACTTTCCTTTTTAGCATGACTGGCTTAACAAGCATTAAATCTCCAGGGCTCGGTTCTCAATGTGTCATTAAGCCAAGCAGTGAAATGCCTGGAAAGAAATGAAAATGAGACCAAATCTTCTGAATGTGGACAAGTTAGAATAACACCCATCACCTCGGAGTTCCCAGAGGTTCCGTGGGTCTGTTTACCAGGAAGACTCATGATCGCCTGGCTCTCCCTGGTCGGGTGGCTGCGGAAATGGGGTGCCATGGGGTAACTAGTTCGACGCATGGATACTGGAGCAGGATGGCCTGGGTTCAGATCCTGCTCTAACCCCTTCTGGCCATGCAACCCGAGAAAAGTTACTTAAACCTCACATTTTCTTTATCTGTCAAATGGGGCTGGCATGAGGATGAAATCATTTGAGTAACATGCCTGGATGAGAGAGAGCCTAGCTTAATGCAAACGTGCCATGTATCCAGCCACCGAGTTCCTTCTTTACACCACCCCTCCCACACTGCAGAGGACCCACCACGTGTCGGGCACCTGGGTCCTGGGGACCCCGATACAGATAAGACACAGTCTCTGCCCTCAAAGCGCTTCTCGGTTCTTCTGCTCTGCTCTCCTCCCTGACACCCAGTCTCAGGGTTAAGTCCGAGTGGGGGTGGGCAGCAGAAGTGTGTAAGCCTGGGGAGCCCGGGGGGAAACTCTGCCTGGAAGAAGAGAGCCTGTCGTTTATGCGGAAAGGCACCCCGTGTCTGAGGGACGTGCCCCGGTGCCCTATGTGACCTCGGGGTTCTGAAAGAAGCCACCAACTCTCTGCACATCTAAGCGTAGACTCGGGCTGAGTGCAGACCTTTGGGGTCTGTCTTCTGGACAGTAACAGAATAGACGCTGACCCGATTCACTAGGGAATATACCCTGGCTTCCCATACAGATACGCCAGGAGGCAGAATCACACAGTGGGGGGGTAGGGATGATGATGGACCGCGGCACCTAACACCTGCGGCTAGCACTGTGCCAGACGCTGCACACACATGACCTCATTTTATCCTCCCATGAGATGGTATGCTTGGTGTCACTCCACAGGCCAGTGGTTTCGGTGGGGCGGAGTTCCATTCAGAGGCCCTAGGATCTGGTGCTTGCGGGGCACTTCCCACAGGCCAGGCTCTAGTTATATGTGCCGCCATCCTCTTATTCCTTCCTCACAGCACTGAGGATGGGGGGGAGGCAGTTTGTTCCCATTTTACCGCTGAGGACGCTGAGGCTCAGAAAGGGGATGTGCCCAGCTCCGTAAGTCCCAGCCTAGAAGCAACAGAGGCTGGGATCAAATGGTCTGACGCCTAGCTGCTGGGCTACGCACCTTTCCAGGAGCCAAATTGGAGTGCAAATATCTAGAAACCCAGCCTTTCAGATTGCTCAGATATAATCGACTGCAAAGGTCACACACCAGGTGAGTCCTCCCAGCAGATTCTTTTTTTTTTTTGACCTACATAGTAGTTTTAGAAATACTCTCAATCCATTGCCAATAATGAATAATATTCTACACTCCTGATTTCTCTCCATAAAAGGAGAAGGGAGGCCTGGCACATTGGCCTTGCATTGCTAACTGCCAGGAAGCATTCTGAGTGCGGGAGCAGCTGCCTGTTTTAGATGGGCTGGCTCTCGCCAGCGCCACACTCCTCACCACTCTCTGTAGTACTTCCCACGCCCAGGCAAGTGCCAAGTGCTATTTCTCATCGCACTTGTGTCATTTTTCTGATGGTACAGTTAAGAATAAAGTGAAGTCATTAGACACCAACGTCTCCATCAGAGGTGGAATAGCAAAGCCTAGATTGGAAAAGCCACGTGGCAAGAAAAATGGGCAAAGGGGACATAACTCGGTGGCAACAACAAATATATCGAGGACTTTAATGCGCAAGGAATGTCTTGCCCATTCTACTCATCGCTGTCACTTCCGTGGCCCCCTGAGACAGTGAATTTGTGACCACTGTTTGAGAAGAAACCCCATGCTTTGCAGATGAGGAAACAGAGGTCCATGGAGCCAAATGGTATCATGCCAATCAGTGGCCCGCGCTCGGGGACGGTGGCACCCAGGTCAGCCTGCTTCTCGAGCTTACCTCTGCCGGTTGGCGGGCCATCGCTGTGACTGCTGATGAGGGTGTCCTTCCTCGGTCCCCTCCTCCCACTAGCAGGGTGTTCCCTGTTGGAGGGCTGGTTAAAGATGTCAAAGTCATCACAGACTTTGGGGGTCACCTTCTGGGCTCTCTCTCCAGTGATGACATTCCAGCTGCGCGGCCGCCCTGGCTCACGCCTCGGGCCTTTATCCCCAACTTCAACCTCTCTAGAAGCCTCCCCCATGGTGTCCGTGATGGCGTCTGATACAAGTCTGCCTACCCAGTCCAGCGGCTTCTCAGGACTCAGCCAGAGCGGTTTGGGCTTCCTGCCTCCCTGCTTCCCACCCTTCCCTATGGCAGAAGGTTGCAACCACGATGGGGTTTTCGCTGGCGGCTCGGAGACTTTTCTGCTCGTGAGGTTTTCCAGCTGTTGGGCCAGGGAGAGCTCTGGGTCAAGGGGAGGGCGTTCCACAGGCGGGCAGAGCGGGGGGGGCCCCAGCACGCCCCCCGTCGAGGCTAGGGCTGCTGGGCAGCTCGCATCTTCATCCAACTTGGACAAGCTATCCTTCGTGCAGTCGGGAGGATTCATCTTTCCGCCAAGTAACGTTCCTTGGGAAGAAAGCTTCACATCGGCTACTGCTGCAGCTGGCGGCGAGAGTTCCCCATCTGTGCCAGCCATCTTGCGGGCCTCTCTGCTTTCCCCCGAGGGGACACCCAGGGCCCTTCCCCTGCTCTCGTCCTGCTCCTGTTCCACGCCAGCCGGGATGCTCTGGTCAGCCGGGGCCTCTCCACCTCCTTTGTCTAACGTGCCATCGAAAATGAGACTTTCATCGACGTAAAGCTTCACGTTCTTGGCACCGATGTCAAGATCCTAAAAACACAAGATGGAACAAAATGAAGCTGTGTGGCATCAGGCTGATGCATCGAAGTTTGAAAGCAGGAGATAGAAAAGAAACATGTGGGATGCTAGAAACGTGAGCTTTAAAAAACAACAACAAAAAAACCCCATAGGACCCGGGATGTTAAATAAGGCTGGTGTCATTTCTGTGTGAACCCTTCCAGACTCTGTAAATCAAAGGACGTTCACAAAGAGACAGCCCGACTGCTGCCTTCGCACCGTTACTCCCTGCTGGGACACTGGTAACAGCCTGCTAATTGGTCTGCCTGCTTCCTGTCTCTTGCCACCTTCAACCTCAACTTCACACTGCCAGAGTTCACTCCCTACAAGAGCAGAGCTGGCCCAGTCACTCCCCTTTGTGAAATGCTTCTTGTTCTCCACTGCCGGTTCTTTAATACACGGTTCCTGGGACCTCTGTGTCAGGAAAGCCTGATGTGCACGTGAAATGCAGAGCCCCTGATTCCATGGGTGTCCTATTTTGGGTGCCCTGAAAGCAGAGCCTGAGGCTAGGGTTGAGTACACGTTGCTTACTTGGAAGCTGTTCCCAAGAGGGAGAAGGGAGAGTAAGATAGGGCAGGAGAAAGCCCCCCAGCAGTTTTGAGCCCCTGCTGTAGGCAAATGGGGCTCCATCGTGCTGGGGCCTTGCAGGGACCCACAGAATGCACCTCAGAAGTGTCCCTCCCAACGCGGGAGGCTGGGGTGTTTATCCACTGACCCGCTTCTCCACTGTTGAAGGTTGCCCCTGGGGACACAAGTTGAGGGCCCTGGTGGCTTTCAAAAGGCAGAGAGACCTGGGAGCCCTTGAGGTGTTGCCCTGTGAGCATGCCCAGGGGCTGTCCCGCCTCAGCTGCGATCAGAGGGGGGCCGAGGGGACGTGGTGTGGTGCTATACTTGTAACAGGTTCTCCGGATGGTTCTTTGGCACATGGAAGGTAGAGAACCTCAGGCTGACGGGATGAATTCCGAAGTCCTCGGCATGACATTCATACGGTAACCTTCACAACAGGATCCCTGGCTTAGCCTTCCTGTCCTCTCCTCCCCACAACACTTGTGCCCCTACACAGACATTGGATGTTTCCTTGCTCATGCTTAAAATATCATCACACCTTCTCCTGCCACTGCCCTGTTTATCCATTCCCCTTTAGAGCAAAACTCTTTCTTTGAAAACAGCTTTATAAACGAGAAATAGAATCCGTACTTCATACAGTGAACTGTGCGTATTTAAAGCGTTACAACTTGGTAAGTTTTAACACGTGTATACATTATGGTGTATCATCTCCACAATCAAGCTAATGAGCACATCTGTCGCCCCCAGAGTTCCCTGGTACCCCTTGGTAATCCCACCCTCCCTCCTTCTCCCGCCCCCAGGCAACAGCCCGTCCGCTTTCAGTCACTACAGATTACTCTGCATTTTCTAGAATTTTTATATAAAAGGAATCCTGCATGTACTACATACTCTTTTTGGCCTGACTTCTTTCACTCAGCAGAAGTGAGGTTCGCCGTGTTGTGTGATTAAGGGTTTTATTCCTTTTCATTGCTGAGGAGTGGTCCGTTGCGGGGCGCCCCCACATTTGTCTGTTCAACTCTGAGAGTCCCTGTCACAGCTGCTCCTCCCACCTTGTCTCTCAGCCTCGCCCCCGTCGGGCCTTCGCCCCCGCCTCTACGTGGATCCCTCCTCAGCAAGGGCACCAATCTCTGGGATGCAGAAGCTTCCTTGTTAGTCTGGGACAATTTGGATTTACTCCTATTGTCCTGCTGTCATCACTCATAAAACCCACTTTCCATCCTCTAAAGTGTCCTGGTTTGGACAATAAATTGTAGGGTCCAGCAGGTCGCCAGATCCGCTGGGAGAGGCACAAGTCCTCAGCTGGGGCTTGGTAGCGTTTGTGCAGCGGGTTACCCCCCTTCTGTAGACTTCCTTCTGGGCTTCCAGGCCCTGCGCTTGCCTGGTTTCCTTCCTGCGTCCGGCTCTCACAGCTGCAGCGCCTGGGTCCTTGCCGTTCCTCTGCTTAGGCTGCCCCAGGGCTCAATCCCAGGCCTCTGGATCTCCCCGCGCCCTCCACTAGGTGGGCTCAGCCAGGCCCAAGGCCCGAAATACCATCTTCCTGTTGATGACTCCTGATTATTTTAATCTCCAACCCTGAACTCTCCAGCAAGCCAAGTGATGGTGAGACCTCTCTTCTGTGATATCAGACAGGTATCTCAACCTTAACATGCCCCAGACAGGATTCTTTTTTTTTCCCTTTAAGATTTATTTACTTAGGGGATGCCTGGGTGGCTCAGTTGGTTAAGTGTCTGCCTTTGGTCAGGTCATGATCTCGGGGTCCTGGGATTTAGCCCCACATCGGGCTCCCTGCTCAGTGAGGAATCTGCTTCTCCCTCTGCCCCTCCCCCTGCTTGTGCTCTTTCTCTCTCAAATAAATAAAATAAAATCTTTTTTTTTTTAAATTTATTTGACAGAGAGAGCACAAGTAGGCAGAGTGGCAGGCAGAGGGAGAGGGAGAAGCAGACTTCCCCGCTGAGCAGGGAGCCCGATGCGGGACTCGATCCCAGGACCCTGGGATCACGACCCGAGCCGAAGGCAGACGCTCAACCAACTGAGCCACCTAGGCACCCTAAAATAAAATCTTAAAAAAAGGATTTATTTTATTTATTTTAGAGAGAGACAGAGAGAGAGAGAGCATGGGAGCAGGCGAGGGGCAGAAGGAAAAGGAGAGAGAGAATCTCAAGCAGACTTCCCACTGAGCGTGGAGCCAAACGCGGGACTCGATCCCAGGACCCTGAGATCATGACCTGAGCTGAAATTGAGTCGGACTCCTAGTAGACTGCACCACCCAGGCGCCCCATCCTAAATAGAACACTTGATCCACTTTTCTCAAACCTGGTCTTTGCCCATCTTAAAAATGGTCCCACCATTCAACTGGGTGCCCCAACCTAGGAGTCCTCCTTGATTCCTCTTGTTCTCTCACTTAAGAATCCTGTCTGTCAGAAGTCTCTAGGGGCTACATCCAAAACCCCTCCCGAATCTCTGACCCCTTGTCCCTGAATGCGCTGCTGCCCATCAGCCCGGGGGGCCCCATCTCTCCCTGAGACAATGACCAGAGCCTCCTAATCGGCCTCCGCTTCCTCTCTGCACTGTCAGTTGCTCCCGCCCCACACGAACACACTTTCTTGTCTACACGGCAGCCCAGTCTTTTTTTTTTTTTTTTTTTTTAAAACAACATTATTAGCTCATGGCAGCCCCCTCCTTAAAACTGCCCAGCAATTTCTCACGACACTGAGAATAAATTCCAGCTCCCTTCAGCGGCCAATGAGGCCCATGTGATCCAGCCCCTGCTGACCTCTCTGACCCCGGCTCCTATCACATTCCCCCTCTTGCCCCCCTCCCCACACACCGGTCTGGTTGCTGCTCCGTGGTCCTGCAAAGCTCATGGCCACCCTGGGACCTGGGCTGGACTGTTCTGCTCCAGGCACCTGCAAGGTTGGCTCCTTCTTGTCTTCCGAGACATCTTCCTGACCCTCTCTCGAGCCCCTGACTCATCCGGTCCCCTCTCTCTCTCACTGCCCTGTTCGATTCCCTTCCCGTCTCTGGAATAATCTTGTTGATCAGCTTTTAACTTAGATCCTGTCTCCCCCATTCAAACTTCAGCCCTCAGACAGTGGAGGCCCTACCAATCTTGTCCAAGGGCCCAGCAGGTGCCTGGCTCATGATTGGCACTCAACCCTTACTCTGGAACTACACGAGCATGAACACAGGTGTTTTTCTCCAGAACGGCACTGCTCTCTGACAGTGTCCTGAGAACAAATCTCATCGGGAAAATGGCAGCCTGTTGTTTCATCCCCAGAACAGTGTCTACCTCGCTTTGGCTGCTGATTTGGGTTTGAGATAAGGACTCTGAGACCCCAGAGGTGTCCACCTCTCCGTAATCCCCCCCTTAGCCTTCCTGCCGCTGGGTGAGTAAGCTCTAACTAAACTTCTAGTTCGCCGAGTTCCAGCCACAGAGGTTTCCGTCGCAATTTCGAATGAGAAGCATCAAGCCTGTGTTACACCACAGGAACCCGGCTTCAATCATCCAATTGCAGGATGGCAGGCTACTATTTGCCGACTGTCAGAAAAGTCGATTCTCAGAGCTCTCTTTTACATGTTTATATGGATGTGTTCTCTGTTTAGCGGAGGCACAGAGCGGGTGCGTGCTGTGAATTAATCAGGAAATAGCTATTCGAGAAGGACAGCGCGGGCAGCATCAATGACTCGTTCTGCACAATTTCCACCACGGAAACATCTGGCGAGACAGAAACACTCATTTCAAGAGGTGATGGGGGTGCTGGGGAGGGCTTCCGGTCCAGCGCAGTCATGAGGTGGGCACCCTGGCTCTCCTAATGAGATGTCTGGCTCCTGATGTGTTTTTGTCTACATTCCACAGACAGCCTGGGGCACCGCCTGACCTCTAGCCGTCTGCCGCCCAGTTCCCTCCAAGAAGTCTGGCGGAGAAGGGACAGAAGGAGGGACGCAGGGGGCCAGGCAGGTGGGAGACAGATGTGCAAGGGTGGAATCTCAGGGTGTGGTGGGGGGCGTGGGGAGCCGAGAGGCTCGGGTCCTGCCTGATGGTGCTTAAATCTGAAAAGTTTACAACACTCTGAAGGCCAAACAGGCCATATCTGTAGGCAGATTTGGCCCAAGGATCACCAGAGGGGGCTCCCTGGTTGGGAAACAAATAGTAGTCACTTCACCGGGAATTCCAAGTATGAAAAAAATAAAAGGCCGCATCATGTCATCCAGCCTTGGAGCAACTCCACAAGGGCCCATCTTGCAGATGAAAACACTGAGGCTTAGCCTTCCCCGAGGCTGTGCAGCTGGTGTGCAGGGAGCCACTCTGACTGGCATCTCCCTTTGGGTCAAGCTAGACCCCGAGAAGGTCTGGCCATGGGCAGAATCACCTGCCCTGGGCGGACCTCTGACCCCATTTCTAGTTT